TCTAACATACTATATGATGAACTTGGTCATTTCATTCGTTGTAGACTGACATGTCTGGAGGACAGGCTTTGTTATTGTCCTCAGCCAGAAGAGGGCCTGACATGCAGGAGGCCACTCCATGAGGAAAGTGCTAGGGCAGGAAGAGGCTGTGCCCTTCACAGACGCCAGACTTCATCAGAAGTTGAAGGGCCCTGGGTCTGCACTCCTGGCCTGACTTGGCCTGGTCCATTTGTTTTGTCCACTTTTTTTTTCTTTTAACAGAGCTTGGGACCACCCCAGAGGCCAGCAATGGGGGCCACAGGCATGTCACACCTCCGCTTCTCTGGGAGGAGAAGCTCCGGAGACATTGGGGAACATGGGAAATGGGCCCAACTACCCTCGGAAGCTGTGCACGGACTGAGCCCGGCTCTTTGGGGAGACAGAAGGTGGCCTGATGGCTCCTCCCTATCCTGAAACCAACACCTTTGTGCACAGCCACAGAATTCAACATCTTGGGGGGAATGAATGTCATGTCTTTCGAGATTTCTCTCTGGCTGTCCTACGTACAAACGTCAGCATCCACCGGCCCTCTCTGCCCCTGCTCCATCTCACCAGAGCATTTAGCACCACCTGAGAGGTTTTATGTTTGCTGATTTATTTATTTTCTGTCTCCTTGCATTTGAGTGTGTACTTGATCTACTTTGTGGCTCCTCAATCCTGGGCATCTAGAACAGCGCCTGATGCATGGTGCGGACTCAGTGAGCATGTGGCGGGTGAATGAAAGAACACAGGCCTGGGAATTCCTGGGAAAATCACAATTTTGTTTTTAAAACTACATATATTCTGCTTCTAGTGGACTTTCAAACTTGAGGTCAGACACAGTGGGCAGGGGCGGGAGGAGCGGGTATGCAGATCCTGTGCCAGGCCCTTGACCTTCTTTCTCATGATGATGCTATTTGGTGGGTGATGTCCCACTTTTTCCAGTCAGGGAGACTAGGTTCGGAGAGGGGCAGGGGCAGCAGCTCAGGGCTGGGCTCACTCTACTTAGACTTCCCTCTCCCTCTCCAGCACCAGGACGCTGGGCCCCAAGGAGCCAAGGGGTCCTAGGAGCCACAGAACATTTGGCAAGGCCTAAAGTCCCATGCCTGCACACCTCAGGCCTTGGGCCATTTCAGAGGGTGATAGCCCCCAGGGCACAGGGGTTGGAATTTTCGCAGGTCACACTGAAGGTCATCCCTGACCTTGGTAGCAGCAGGAGCTCTAGCGGCCTTTCTGAGCCCACCCGCCAGCCTGCAGCCCCTCTGAGTCAGAGGCAGGCTACTCACGGAAGGTCAAACAAAGGTGGAGCTGTGGGCAGACAGGGTCTCTCGGTTGAAATCCTTTCCACTGTACTGGGTCCCTGCCTTCCTGGCCCCTGTCCTCCTCCCAGTCCTCTACTGTCCTCTGGAACCCAATGCACTGCCCTCTGCCAGCAGTTCCTTGCCTACCACCTACCCTGACTGGTGGCCATCCCCGCTCCCGCCAGCTTTGCCTGGGCTCACCATTGCCATGGCCAGCGTCTGGTCCACGCCACCTTTGCCTCTTGCTCGGACCACTGAACAGCACTCCAGCCTCCCTGAGGGTTCACTTGCTCTTATCACCCCCTCCTCCAGGGCGGCCAGGCTGCGCTTGCTACATCCATCCCCATCAACACCTAGAAGGGGGTCTGATTTTGTCCCCAGGCCCTCGAGTGCCTGGGCTGTGCTCCGATCAGCCTGGCTCCTCTCTGGCCGCAAATGGGGTGCATGGCTCCTCTCTAAGGCCTCTGCCCCTGCCTTCCTCCAGCACTCCTTCCCCAAAGTCCTTTTACCTTGCCCTCTTTCTTTATTCAGGGAAGCAGTCTTGGCCGCCTTGTCTAGGTGAGCCACCTCGGGGGAGCTGTGCCTGCACTTCGCCTACTGTGTCTCTGCCTTGGGACTGCAACATTCCGGGAGGCACCAGCTTGCTTTTTTGGCTTACCCTGGGATCCCCAGTACTGACAATGGTGTCAGCACATAGTAACTGCTTGCTGAATACCTTGTGAGTGGGTGAATAAATGAGTGAATCTTTTGGGGTCTAACTCTCAGCTCTGGTGACATCTTCTTAGAGAGCCCTTTTAGAAAGACCTCTTCCGAGAGAGTTGGGGGGCAGGCTCCTTCTAATTCCTGTGTGAAACAAAATTAGATCCAAGGATCTGTTTCCAGAAGGTTATGGCTCAGGGGCAGTGGCTGCTTCTGTCCCTTTCGCGGCCTCAGGCAGGGCAGGTGTACTGTGCCCCTGGGTTTGACACACCTGAACACAGGGCTGACCCAGGCTCCGCCCACCTCTAGGAGCAGCCCCACCCACCTCCTTGTGCCAAACCCCACCCACCTCGGGAGAAACCCCGCCTACCTCTGGGCCATCTGCTTCTTCCTCTGGAAGCCCCTGTTACCTGCATTGTATGCATGGCATTTGACCTTGACTTACTTATTCACTCAAACATTTACTTCCTTGCTCAGCAACAAAGTGCTTTATTGGGCCCCAGTTCCTTGCTGGGCTCTGTGCTCAGAGTCTTAGGGGGTGATGAACTGGAGCCAGCAATACTGCAGCCAAATGTGGAATGGAGTCGTGTGCAGGGGAAGCCCACAGATGGGCTTCCAAATCAAAGTGGGGGGTCGGATAGGGTCTGCATAAACAGCGGGATCGGGGTTCTCCTGGAAAAATGATGCCATTCTTCCCTCTTCTCTTGCCAATCAGGTTAGAGTTTTGGAGAATGATAGGAACTTTCGGCTTTAAAAAATTATTGTTGCCGGGCGCGGTGGTGCATGCCTGTAATCCCAGCGACTTGGGAGGCTGAGGCAGGAGGATCAGGAGGATCGAAAGTTCAAAGTCAGCCTCAGCAACTTAGCGAGACCCTAAGCAACTTGGCAAGATCCTGTCTCAGAATAAAAATTAAAAAGGGCTGGGGATGCAGCTCAGTGGTTAAGCGCCCCTGGGTTCAATCGCTTGTACCCTCCCCCCCCCCAAAAAAAAAAAATCATTTTTGTCATCTAGTCCAACACCAGCATATTATAGATCAGGTGTCAGCAAACTGTCAAACACAGGCTGCTGCCCATCGTTGTAAATAAAGTTCAGCTGGAACACGCCATGCTCATTTGCTTCTGTGTTGCCTATGGCTGCCTTTGCCAGAGCTGAGTGATTGAGTGATGGGGAGGTGACTGTGTGACTTGGAAAGTCAGACATGTTTGCTGTGTGGTCCTTTACAGAAAAAGTACGCTGACCCCTGTTATAAATGCTCAAGAAGTATTGTTGAGCTAAGTCCAATGGGACCTTGGGGATCCCACGTGGCTAATGAGAGTGCAGTCTATATACCCAGATAAACCAAATTCGAAGCTCTTCTCTCTTTAAGGAAACTGAGGCATAGAGCTGGCCGGAATTGCTATGGAAAGACTCCTGAATCTTTATTTTTCTTTTAATAAAAAGCATTTATTGAGCACCTACTAGATTCCAGGGTTGGTTCTAGGTGCTGTAATGAATGAGACAAATTTCCTACCTCAAGGTACTTCCTGGTGAATAGAGTGTCACAGGGTACTGTGCTCCACCAGGTGAGGCTGGGTCCAGCACTGTGGCTCGGGCCCTGGGTCACCTCTACGTCTTTGCCAGGCTGTGTCTCCTAGTCGAGCTGTTTCTGAGGATCCTCCCTGTTGGTTCTGCTCTTCCTGGGCCAGGGACTGTCTTTTTTTGTCCATCTCCGTCTCCTCATTACTGAGCACTGGGTCTGGCATACAGCAGGTGCTCAATCCACATTTACTACACCCCCTGGGCTCCTCTGCTAAGATCAGGCTTGGCAAGAGCTCCAGAGGTGTAACAGGTAACAATGACCAAGTGGCCCTTTTGGGACTTCCATTTAAGAATACTGTCTTGAGGGAATTCAGAAAAGGAAGTGGCGAGTGTGGTATGAGGTTTTCTTTTTCCCCTTTAAAAAAATAAAATCCATAAATCTCCGGGTGTTCCCTTCCTCCCTGTCCCCAGCTTCCTGGCTGACAGTGTTCCAATGAAACCCGATTCCAGGCTCACCTGTGAGCTGGGCTTGATGCAAGGAGTCGTTATTGAAAGAGACAGGGCCGATCACATTATCAAATGTTTCCTGCATTTTTCATAAAAGGGATCCGAGGGGGAAGGTCACCACTCTGCTGTGGGGGAGGGGAGGAGGCCAGGCCTGGGAGGCAGAGGCAGGTCACTCCCGGGGAGGACACCAAACCTCAGAGCTGGTGTGAGAGCCTCTGGCTCTGCCGTCCCAGGTCTCAAGGACCCTCAGCTCCTCTCCGGGAAATCCCTTTCTCGGGAAGTTGGCAGCCTTGTTAGTTTTAGCTGATGCTTGAAGCTTTGGAGGCCCCTTGGGGCCTCAAAATGCTTTCTCTTGATAATATGTCTCAGGTGGATTTAAGATCACAGCTGTTACATCAGGATTTAACTTTGATTTGACTTGCGGGGGAAGAAAAAAAACGTCTCTCTTTTGCTTTTTTTTTCTTTTTGTAGAAGTTCCAATCTGGCACGGTCTGATTTCCGCATTCAATTATGCAAGAAATATTTACTGAATTCTTAATGTGCGCATTGCACTGGGTTGAGACTATAAAGGTGGACAAGAAGGGAGGGTCCCTCCTCCTGGGGACCTGGGGGATTGTTACTCACATAAAGGAACCTACAGCTTGATAAAGTGCTTGCTCTGGGAACCCCTGGGGAGAGGCCCAGGGGAACTTCCTAGTGAAGGTGGTGTTTCCCTTGAGACCTGGAGATTATTGAGTAGGAGTTTGCCAGACAAAGAAGGGGAGGGAAGGGTGTTGTGGGCACAGGGAACAGCATGCACAAAACTTTGCCCTCCTAAAAGCTGGAAAGGAGCCAGGTGCAGATCTTTTTTTTTGCTTTCTGCTGTAACCAGGGCCTCTAGATAGACCTTTGGCTCTCTGACGGCTCAAAGCACAGGACCACCACCTGGAGGGAGATTGAAAAATTGTGTGACTCACGGAGGAAATATTCTGCTGTGTCAGCTTCGTAATCTGCATCCTCTGGGAAGTGATCGATCTGCTTGCACAGGCCTTTGAAGTTCCCTGCAAAGCAAGGGGAAGGAGCGCATGAGAACAGAGTGTGCGGGCTCAGCCCCTGCCCCTTCCGACTTCTTGCTCTTCTGAAGCTCACCCAAGCCTCCCCCTCCTTCCAAGGAAGGTATCGCTGCTTTGTCGTTTTGGACATTGGCCTGGTGGATCAAAACACACCCACCCGTAGCTCTGCGGAGAGGATCTAAAGCTAAACTTCAAAACCCTGCCTTCCATCCCTGGTCCCTGCGATGCAGCTTCTGGGGATTAGCTGGAGCTTGGCAGTGGCGGGGGGCTTGATTCTGGGCTGGGGACTGTGCTGGGGATGCTGCTGGTTGCTTAGTGGCCTGACTTGATGTCCCGGCTCGGCGGGGAGTCAGCCTGCATTTTGTATGTGAGAAGGCCGCACGTAGACAGCTCTCCAAAGAAGGCAGAGCCCAGAGTGATGTGGAGACGTTCCCTTGGCCCTTCCCCGGAGCTTCGAGCACATTCCCATCTGTAATTATGTGAAATTCACCCTGGGCCCCAGCAGCTCTGAGGCATCCAGGGGCTGAGGCCCCGCTGGGGGCTGGGCTCCCCTCACCTTCTTAAACTATAGCTCATTTGGCTCATTCTAAAGAGGAGTGTTGCCACTCCATTTTCCAGATGTAAAGGTTGAGGCTCAGGGACGCTCCCTGATCTGAATAAGTACTTGTGTCCAGAAGAAGCTGCAATCAGGGTCCAAACAAAGGTCTTTTGACTCTAAATATTTCCACGGTGATTGCTGAGCAGTTGAGAACCTGCCCAGGGCCAAACTCCAAGGCAAGGCCCCAGTGGGCTCTCATCAGGGTTCACTGAGTGAATCAGCAAACCATTGAAGCAATGAATAGAATCCAATTTATAATCACCAGAGTGTCAGCTTCCGGACAGCAGGAGCTTTGGTCTGCTGCATGCGTGTGGTCTCTCAGCATCAGCGGGGGCCACTAATGCCTGTTAATGTCCTCTGAATGAGAAAAGAACGGACCCGAGCTGGGGTGGATGGCCAGGGCCAGATGCAGGCTCAGTGGTCCAACTGTCTGGTCAAGCCCAGCTTCCTGGACCTGACTGTTTTCTTGTCTGAAGGTACACACGGGGCTCGGAACCATGCCTGGGGCATTTATCCAGTCCTGGGGACACAGGTGTGAGAGAGCAACAAAGTTTAACTGTTCAGCCACTGAGGAGGGTCTCCTATGACAGGAGCCAGTGTTACCTAATGAGAACAGTCCTCAGAAGCCGTCAGTGGTTCACTCTTTTAGATTCCTGAGATTCCATATCTGACTAGGTGGGTGCAGGTTTCATCATGTGCCACGCATCCAAGAATTTTCAGACGGTGGTATCTAGCCCTGTACATCGAATCCATACAGCTCGGACCTTCCTAATCCAAATCCCAAAGACTCCCAAATCCAAAACTTTTGGAGTACCCACATGACACCCTGAGTGGCACTCCACACCTGACCTCCTGTGAGAGGTCAAGGCCAAAGCACTGGCCACAGAAAGCATCTTATGTACACAGTTACCTCTAGGTTACGTGTGCGTGGTGCAGATGACACCCAGAGGGATCTCATTATGTATATGCCAAATTCCCCAAATCTGAAGAAGTCTGAAATCCAAAACACCTCAGGGGCTGAGTGTCTTGGGTAGGGGACACTTAGCCTGTACTTTAAAACGCGGTGTTCAGGCGTGTCATGCTTCAGACAGGAAGAGCAGCATTTGAGGTCTTTCTGGTTCTTAGTATGTGCTACCTATTACAGAGAAGACCCCCTGGACCCCATTCACACATGGGCTGTCCCCATACCAAATTCACCTTCTTTTCTGACTTCAAGAAAAACAGTTCCCCAGAGCATGCTGGGACTTCCAGTCACTGTACTGAAGCTTTGTGGGGTCAAAATGGACCCCAGGGGCAGATCTCTTGTGTAAGTATTTGGGGCAGTCCATCCTCTGGCACAACTGCTCACCCCCTGCTGCAGCCCTCTGCCCTTGGCATCTGGGCATGGACAGGAGGCCTGGCCACCCCCAGCACCTATTCCCTCCATGTCCGCATCTGGTCCCCCGCCCCCCAGGAGAAGAGTCCTCCTACCAGCTGTTAAGAAGATAAAAAATTCCTCTGATTGTTGAAATTACAAATCAGCGTAGTTGAAAAGCACTTTGCAAAGCACTTTCATTTTCTTTCAATTCAGTCTGACAAATCTTCCGTCAGCACCAGCTCGGTGCCAGGCGTCTTTATAAGGAATCGGGTGCAGCAGGCGAACAGCGGCACTGATGTGCCCCGAGGCGCCCAGCAAATTGGGGACAGAGCTCTGGAACTGAGGGCTGGAGGGTGGCGCCTCCATCTCTCTCCAGGGCCCCACCTCTATCCTGGTGGGTGGCACCGCCCACACCTGCTCCCCACCCATCCTAGCTGCTCCCGGGACCCAATGTGCCCTACTCGTGCCTGGGTAGGTGGCTCCTGGCACAGAGGGGCCCAGGAGATGTGCGTGGAGAGGCTGTGGAAGTTATGAGCAGCTCAGGTCTTACCTCAGAGGCCCGTACCTGGGTGGGGGCTGCCATTCTCAGTCTGGTGACTTTCCTGACTTTTCTGAGCCCCAACTCACGGGTCTCCCTGGAGCCTGGTCCTCAGAGGTACCAGTGAGCTCATCACCCCGCCATCTCCCCCAACTGCCGCTCCCATCCATCACCACAGCTTTCCTGTTTTAGGGCCTCAGCATCCCTCGAAGGTGTCCCTGTCTGATCATGCGAGCTCCAGCTTCAAATGCTGCAGCGTCCCAGGTTTTAGGGGAAATCTCAACATCTCTAGCACCTTCAGCCAGCTGCCCTCTCTATCTTTGGCCTCACTTCCCAACCACCTTGTCCCCCTCTTTACATTTCTTCCTTCTCCAGCTATACTCCCTCCTACCACAGGACCTTTGGCGTTCCTTTCTGGGCTGCACCACCTCCTTTGCGGTCTCCCTTTCCTAACCTCCCTCCAGCCTCCTGTACTGTGTTCAGGGGTGTCCATGGCTCGCTGGCTGGTGCTGGCTGCTCTGTGTCAGGGGAAGGCATTGTGACGCTCACGGGGTGGTTCCAGTGGAGAGGGAAGGAGGGATGACCTGCAGAGAGCAAGGGTGGAGGCTGGTGTGGGGAGGGAGGGCGGGCAGCCCTGGGGCACCCATGACGGTGGCCCTCACTGACACAGCTCTTCTCGTTGCTTTCCTTTCCCTCACACAGTGGGAAGCAGGGCCTTTAGCTGAGAGCGAGGAGGGGAGGAAAGGAAGTGGAGGGTGAGGGAGAGGGCCGGGCACACGCTCATGTGTGTGCATGACATGAGGTGTGTGTGTTGGTGCCCTGAGGTCCTTCTGAGATTCTGTGGTTTCCTCCAGCCCTTTCGGGGTGCAGCTGCAGTGTGGCCAAGAGGCGGCTGGGAGGTGAGGCCAGATGGGAGGGGCAGGGAGCAGTAAGGAGATGGACGGCAGCCTCTGAGCTGGGCAGCGGGAGACAGGACCCGAGGGGCAAGTGGGTGCTGAACAGCCAGGGAGGGGTGTCCATGCACTGGGAATCTTGGGTGGGTGGGGGCTGAGGAATTGTCAGGCTCGGGGAGAAGGCCAGAAGTGGGATGTAATGTTCAGAGAGCGGGAGGTGAAAGAGACTGTGGGGGGCTGTGGCTATTGGCAATGCCAAGGTCAAGGCAAGACCATGAACGTGGGGGCTCAGGTGGAGGCAGGGGTGGTATTGAAAGTATCTGGCAACCAGAAAGGTTGTACAAATCAATATAAAGACGAGACTGAAACATTCGCTCTTACGCTCCCCGTACATCAAGAATGAATTAGGACTCTCCTACCCAGTTAAAAAGTTGAAGTGCAAATGATTCATCAAATTATTCTAATAAGCCCCAAATCATTGGTTGGTTTTTAGAAATTATTGGTGTGATCGTTTGATGATGAGGCCGCACAAACTAAATGATGGCCCTGTCTGGCCACGATTTGACAGGGGAGCGGCACCAGATGCTTCCCCAGCTTCCCTGTGGGAGGAACAGCCATTGGGTCCTGGAGTGCAGGATTTCTAACTTGTTCCTTGCCTGGCTGCTGTGGCATCTCCAAGGATGACTACAGGAGGAGGCAGAGGCAGCGAGCCAGAGGATGAGGGGGCGCCCTGGAGGGAGCCAGGGATCTGTGAATGAAGGCACCCAGGGGGCTGGGGCAGACCTGGGGGGTGAGTTTCAGAGAGGGCAGGGTTAGGGAGGAGGCCCTCCTAGGAGAGGTGGCGGGGCTGGAAGTGTCCCGGGGCAGAGCCAGGCCTCCATTCCAGCAGGAGGAGAGGAGGTTGGGAGTGCGGGGAATTCTGCTGACCTTGGAAAACAAATTCCAGAGGGCTCCAGGGCACGGGGTCGGGAGACTGGGTCAGCCTAGGGGATGAACACAGCCCCCAGCGACAAGCAAGTAGTGGTGTGTGACAGGGGGTAAGGTGAGACTTGGTCATGATGAGATGGGTCCCAGCAGTCCCTTAGGTTGACCGAGGTGATGACGAGTTCAAGGTCTCACATGCCATATAGAGGGATGTGCAAGGCCTTATGGGAGCACAGTCCAGCTAACGTTTATGTGGCACCAACTGTATGCCACGCTGTGCAACCTGCTGAGGACACAGAGGAAAAATACCACCCTGCCTGTCCTCCAGGAGCTCACCTCTCTCAGGTGGAGACAGAGCCGCTGCCGGGGAGGCAGGCTGCGGGGACAGGGAGACAGGGCGCTGGAGCACAGCGCACATCCGGGTCTGTGAGTGCGTGGATGTTACGGGGTCCTCCTGCAGAGGAGGCGGCAGAGCCCGGCAGGACTTGGAGCAGGAGCCAGCAGCTTGCGCGTGTGCACTGTGTGCATTGCCCACGCTCACACCCACATCTGTTGGGCTATGATGAGAAAATGGTGGAGGGGTGAGAAGCGCTTTCTAAGGAGAGAGATTAACCGGGCGGCCAAGGAAACACTGGCCACAGGAGAGAACAGTCTGGGGTTAGAGAAGTTTCCCCGGAG